CTCTCCAAGCTCAGCTGCTGCACGTTGTGTCTGGGTGCAGAGACCCCAATATCCCCTGGGAGTGAGGCCAGTGAGTCTCCATGTGCCCCCAAAGCTGCCGGGGGGAGAGGGGAGGGTTGTCCTTCTCCGGAGTCTGGCGGGGCAGGGGAAGCGGGTGGCGCGGGGGGGCTGCCTGCTGCCTAACCTCAGTGTCAGCTTAATGAACTGCTCCTGTCAGTCCCGTGTGTCACGCTGAAACTCCTCCTGATGTGCTCATAAATCAAAGTGACGGCGGCTCTTACCCTGGTAGCTGCACCCAGTCATCTGCGTCTAATGTACGCCAAGCCCAGGCGACGCTCCGGACCCTGAGCCCCTGCACTGGGATGAGAAACGGGACTGGGATGGGGAGGCAAATGCAGGATCTGGTCCTAACGCAGAGCAAGCTCCTCTGGTGGGTGCTGGGGGTCCCCTCTGGGAGGGACTCAGCGGGTGTTTGCCAGGCTGGGGCTTGCTGAGGGGAGGGGAGCCCAGCAAAGCTCGTGGGGTGAGGGCTGAGGAGAGAGGTTTTCGATAAGGCTGGGGCTGAAATTGAGGGTCTCGCCGCTCCAGGGCAAAACCCCCAGGCTGGTGGGTGCCGTTGGATGTGTCTACACACGGGTGCACCTCTTCACCCATTGCACTCGGGGGTTTTGAGCTCGTGCAGTTTGTTGGCTTTGCCATGCAGCAGTTGCTCTCAAGGGACTGGCAAATTGGCTTCCCCGAGGAGAAGTGATCCTGGTTTGGCCTAGACCATGTGTGTGTGCATCCACTGGGAACCAGGACTCGTATTCCCAGGGCTGGTCACTGTTGGTGGCGTAGTGAAGCTGGCAGGATGCACGCGTGGATTTGAGGCACGCGAAGGCACAGGCTTGACCTGGACAGCATCATCCTGGCCAGAACCATTCAGGGGTCAGGGCTGCCTGGCCCCCCGGGCGCTTGGGGAGGTCTGACTGCGCAGGCAACGTGCCCCAGGGATCCTCATGACTTCATCCGCTCCCAATTTCCTCCTGCTCCACAGCCTGGAAGTGCCATGAATGAGGCTGTGTTCACACGGAGCCCGGGCTTGCCCCGAGGCCCCCGGGGAGGGCGGCGGTGGAGCTGGGAAGAGGCAGAGAAGCCCGTCCCATCCCATCCAACTGCTGTTTCTAACCAAGGCGAGGACATCCGCATCCATCCCACACCGTGGCAGAGCTTCCCCTCGGAGGGGACAGGGACACCATGGGGACAGCACTGCCTCTGTTAAGCCCCTCGGGCACACAGCCTCTCCCTGCGTTTTTTCCTCTTACGTGGTTTTAGGGTCCACGATCTGCCCTGGTCCCAGGGCCAGAAGCCCTCCTGTCTCAGTGCCTGGCTCGGGAGCGAGGGCGAGCGTGGGGATTTCTCTTCGCTGAGCAGAAATCGCTTTGATTTGTGCCTTTATCTTCAAACATCCGAGGGGCAGGAGTGAGGTTTTTTTAGGAGTGAGGCGAAGCCAGAGAGGATCCGGACCTGAGGCTGCGGGGACGGACTGTGGCCAAGAGGTAGACAGGCCAGGGACATCCCACTGAGGCTGAGAACGCAGATTTAAACTCTTTCTGTGCCCCAGACAGGACTTGCAGTTGTGTCTTACATTGCAGACGTGGGATTTTGCAGGGCAGTGCCTGGAGCCCGTCCTCGCCCCCCGTTTCACAAAGCCACAGCCGAGCATCAGCAGCATCTGCCAGGGGACAGCCCCGTATCCCGCAGAGCCCGGGGTGCTGCTTTGGGTACAGCAGCACACGCCAGTTCCAAACTAAGCCGTGAGCTGGGTTTGACACAGAGGGTCTGTGCTGTTCCCTGTTGAACAGAGCGCGAGATGCAGCCTTGGGGGTCATCGAGAGAACGAGGTGGGGCTGTGCCAGGTCCCTGGGATGCCCGCTGCACCGGGGGCCTGAATCCTCACGATGCTCAGACGCAGCCAGAAGATACAAAAAAGGACATTTCTTATTGCAAAGCTGTTGGTTCATCAGTGAGGACATGGGCATGAAAATGCGTCTTTTTGGGCCAAGCAACAGGGCTGCAAAGTGCCCACAAGCGCCGTGAGATCAGGGGGAAGCACCTTAGCGTGGCTTTGGCTGGTGCGCTCCGCCAAGGAGGGGGCTTGCTCTTCCAAGAGGGACCCCAGGACTTTTCTTGCTCGGGATAAGGGAGCTGCCGTGGAGAGGCCAGGCTGCTGCTGGGGCTGGTCGGCGCGGCACAGCCGGCTCACCGCCTGCCAGCCCGGCTCCTCGCAACCCACAAACAACGTCTGCGCAAACAGAGGGGTTCAAGGGGTTACGGAGACGCCTGCCCCGCTAATGAGGCCGGGCAGGCCGGGGGCAGCTCCCCTTTCGTGGCCAGCTCGGATTAGCAGCTGCCTGTCCCCATCCCTAATTGAATTCTCTCCCCTTCAGTTAATTCTCATGGATTTCTTGGTGCCTCCCCGGGGACCCGTCCTGCATAACTAGTTTAGGGCCAGTTATGCCGGTCAGAGTGTGGCCAGCTCCTGGGGATGGATGGGTTGGGGGGGGTCGCCTACCTGGGAGATGCTTGTGGTTGGGGTGGGGCTACCAGTGCTGGCGCCCAGGGTCTGGGAGTGCTGTGTGGCAGCTCCCCCATGGACAATTGTTTTCTTCCCCCCAGGAAGAAGGGCCTTGTAATGGTCAATTTTGGCAAATAGGGACCGTTTTCCTGCTTAAAGGAGGATGTTGTGCCTCTGGGTGGTCTTAGGATGCCTTTTGGGGGCTGGGAGCCCCCTTTCCTTCAGTGATGCTCGGTGCCCGTGGGACCCCATGGCTCACGTTTGCGGGTTCAACCCATCTCGCAGGCAGAGCTGGTTCTCTGCTTTGAGCAAGCCCACAGCTCTGCTCACTCCCTCTCTTTCCAGTGCTTTATTTTTCCCTTCCCATTTCCTTTTCTTCCCCTCCTCTTCCGACAGATCAAAGCCTCCGGCCGGCTCAGCCGCAAGCTGAGCGGGCACGGCACTCAAGGCCGCGGTTCTGCCACCATGGGCATCCCTCGCCGCCGGGCCCCTGCCTTCCCGGCGAGGCTCCTGCTGCAAGGCTGGGAATAAAACGCTCGGGG